CTGGTTTGGGGCTACTGCAGGACCTTCTTTTTTGAGGACGATAAGAGAAAGTGGAAATTCGATGCTTCTTCGATGCGTTTGAATTTAACTATTTAATTAGTTAGATAACCATAAGCTAGAAAACTTGTATGGATAAATCCTGAAAGCACAAGTTCAAAGAAGCACAAGCCCCTCCACTGCTGGTTGAATCGACGCTATGCTTCAATAGAGCCACGAGACGCTGCCCTAAGGCGGTGTCCTTTCCCACTTAATGCAATAACCCTTTGAGAGCTAATACGTTCCTCCTATATCCAACAGTGTTTCTGAACTTAAACTTCACTTGAGAATCATAGCATTGATTGGGAAATACATTATTTATCAATTAAAAAAAAACACAATTTTCGCAAAATCTTCGACCTTTCTGGTTATTCTGCTGTTAAAGGGTTAATGTCTTTAAAAATCAGTTTGCAATATTTTCCTACAACTTCTTCCCCTTTAAGCATTCTTGTTTTACTATATTCTGCTGCCGTTAAAAGATATTCAGAAAGTGAGTAGTATGCAACTAGTGTTCTCATGAAATCTGCCAATTTTAGTACATACATACATTCATGCAATTCAGATGCATACGTTCAGGCGCATACACATAAACATTCATGAATTTGCCTCTTGCATCGCCAGCGCAACTGAATGCATAATAACTAAAATAAAAGCTGTTACGCAAAATCGCACCTCTCTGATGAAAAGAAATTTGTCAAAGGTGAGTGAGTTTGACAGTCATTTTGCAACATCAGAGTTTTGAAATCGATTTTGTTTTGAATGCATAAAATGCTCTTTTAATTCAGATTGAGTTTTTTTTTTTATTTAAAGTGGAGAATGTGGACATAGTTAGTACAAGTTTGGAAGTTGGTTAAAATAAGTTGGTATAAAAAATTTAAAATTTTATTTCTGTTATAAAGATATTCTGACAAAGTAAATTCATTAATATATACTATGGGAGCTTGTAAAATTTTGGAAGCTCAACCAGTCAATGCACGCAGGAAAACTACTTATAAACTAAAACAGACGTCCTAAGTTGGCCCAGCGGGCCAGTGTCGTAGTAGAGGTAAGATTATAGACGAAGTTTACACACTCTTCACCATTGGGAAATTTCAAACCGCCAAAAAACGGTTTATATCCGAGTGAGCACATAATACCGAAGCGTTAGTAGTTCTAAATGGTATTAGAGTGCTTTTCAACTCTTCCTGTGAAAGGGGAGACCTACTCTCCAATCGTTTCAATCTAAACTAAGACTTTTTACATCGCAAACGATTTTTCTTTTGCATTTCAACATTATTTTTGCAAAGTACAAATGCTTGTGCGGTGTCCATTGCCTAATTGTTTCCTATGATTTTCAACACTTTCTTAAAAGTCCTTTAACTTTGAATACTTTATATAGAATGCCACTTCAGCTAAAAAAATTTGTGAACTAATTAACACATAGTGCCAATATTCGCATGCCATTAATTAATTAATGACTAATCAATTTAATTACTTTAACGGTATTCAATCAAGTTAGGTTAGTACTTAAGTGCCGACAAAAATGCAAGAGTATAATTAAAGTTTGCATATTCATACATATATATGTATGGATGTACATAGAGCTATAATATATTTACACCAATATACATACATATACATATACCAAATGTCGATGACACTTTGAGTGTAATAACTTCTACGTACATACATATGTACATACGTATGTATATTACACACTAACGTTTAAACCTTATATTGATTAAGCACAAACACATATGTGTACATTAGGGTGGTCCAAAATAAGTTAAGTCGGAATTTTAATGCTCTCAAATCAAAAAATATTTAGAGGTTAAATGGTTAAAAAAATAATTAGGTATTATTACTGGGAATCTCCTAAAGAAAAACAGGGTGTTCCGGTCGAAAAATATTGATTTTCAAGAACTAAAATACATGGAAAACTTTGAGCGCTTTGAGCGACTTCTAACTATTTTTTGATCTCAAAATAAAAAAGAGGGGTATATATTTTCGGTATAGAACAATTTTAGCGGGTGAGAGCATACAAATTCCGCCTCAACTTTTTTACGTGCTTATTTGGACCACCCTAGTGTACGTACCCTGCAGCAATAAGGCGGCCAATTTTCCGAAAAGCACCAGTACTTCATCGGTTAAAATTTGACCGGTTAGAATCGGACATTTGTTTGCATAGAAAAATTTTAGCTTGCGACCACTCCCTAACTGGCGTCCCAACCGCTCCAAGTGAACATTTGAAACAAATTTACATATCGTGGCCGTAGCTGAGTGCGCAGAGATGCTTGCTACTATTGGTTGTGCTGTAAGGCGCGTACGAGTTCAAATCTCATTGGCGGAACATACAATTTAAAATTTTTGTTTTTCGGTTTATCTTAATTAAGAAAAAGCATCCGTGAAGTACACAACTAAATCGTATTCAAACGAAAAAATTTATTAATATTAAATTGTAAATGGACTAGACCAGATAATAAAGAACAATTAACCATAATAGGACATCTTATGGTGAGTTGTTGGACCGGTATTTTTCCAATGGCACACCAATGTTAAAAACGACAGTTTAAACTAGTACTGGTAATAATAGGGACTGCCCGTGTGCTAACCAAGGTTGAGTCCCAATTGCTACAGGGTACTTACATAATACATCTAATCATCTAGGTGCACGTGTGCAATTAATTGTCTGTTAAAAAAAAATGTATAAAAAACAACAGCAACAACTGCAGTGCATTGCTATCGAATCAGACCCCCTGCACCCTACACAAGCCACCAATTGAATTTTTTTTTTCACGAACTCAACTAAATTAATTGAAGTCTTCGTAAAAAGCGAGTGTAAAGTGATTAGGCGAGGAGGCAGTCAAAGGAGTAAGCAGCGTCAAAAGCAATAAAGTGAAGTGCTGGTTGAGGGAAAGGGGCTAAGAGACATTTAAAATGCACTTTGTCACACACACAAGCAACTAAATAGATTGCAACAACATAGACAATATGTGTACATACCCTGCAGTGAAAAGTCAAACCAGTTAGAAAAAATACTAGTTCATTAACTAGTATGTGCTTACCAGTTCCATAATTTCGAAGAACTTGAGCCTTCAGCGACATCTGCGTTTGAATTTCCAACCTAAGCCAAAAATAAACCGCAATTATTTGCTTTTCTTTCAAATACCGGCTGTGGCGTCACGTGAAGATTACTGGTTCATTTCTACTAGTAGATGCTGATGCATAGCCTGACAGTTGACAACACAATATTAAAAATACCTGTCGCTAACAAGGAAAAATAATAGAACGTGAACTAGTTGGGCTGAAACTCAAAGTGGTAGATTTCTAGCAGACAACTAGTAGCTTTCCCTGCAGGGTACATATCCATGCACTTACGCGCCTATATCCCCAAAGCTGCACTTGTGCGCGCCGCCGCTTACTCCCGACGCACTGAAATTCTAATTACAATTATGACATTTGGTTGCGTACTGCTGATGCAAATCGGTGGCACAAAAGACCCCCAGCGCTAGTAATAAATATTTGGAGTATGGAACAGCAGTAGCAGCGGGAAAAGTACCAGCAGGAGTTTTAGCTTTGTTAATGGCAACGCCACAGCAAAGGCACCTGATGTTCGCGCACTCAGTGTGTAATTATGTTTGCGATGCTGCATCGACATCTGTATGTATGTTTAATAGTTATTCTTATTGCAGCCGTATTTTTTTTTTCATTTGTTGTTATTTCGTGCTGTGCACTTATGCCGCAGGGCTCATGCGCAACGGTTGCTTTGTCACCTAAAATAGCAACTAATCGTTGCGTTCGCCAACTCGCTAGAAGTTGCAAGATTTCACCAGAAAACATGGTAAAATGGGTAACAGTTATTCGTCGCCACACTGTATAAATCTCAAAACTCATTAAGTTCGAAACTTATGCTATTTATTTACTAGTTTTTTAGCATTTGTATAGAAATTTTCGTTACTTTTCGCATCTGACAACTGTTAGAGCCAATTCAAGGCGAGTTGATATAGAAAATACTTTGTATGGAAAAACTACGTGGCATTGTCAGCAAAAAACTTGCTAAAAATCAACAGTTAAACTTGCACTTTCAGCGGCGGATCCAGCGGGGGGTTTCGGGGGTTAAACTACATGTCAGTCAGTGGCGGATTCAGGGGGGGTGCTTTAATACTTAGACGCCATATTGTACATACATATGCGCCACTGACTTCCACACAAAGTTTAACCCCCAAAACCCCCCGCTGGATCCGCCACTGTGCACTTTACTATAATAAAATCTTCATAAAAAAAGTATAAAATAACCATACCACATAAAATGCGTGGAGCCTTTGCTATAAAAGTCTACTTCCTGTGCCCTAAACGTCCACAATTGAGGCATTTTCTTTTTTCTCTATTGAAATGAAAAGAAATGATTTACTTTAAAATTAACACAATAAATTTAAACAGAAGCACGTTGCTCCCCTCCTTCAAATCTGCGTAGGTGGTCTCCTCACATCCTTATTAAAATGTAACCCATCTCTCTCTCCAGTCAAATGTTTTCTAACCTCGGATTTTCCTGTCGGATGTGACTCTTTGGCATTCTAGGAACATTTTCCCGTCAAAACCAATTGATTTTAGTATCGGTGACTTATTCCATCAATTAAATATTCCTATAAAAACGTGGAAGTAAAAAAAAAGTTGTTAAGCTGTCTTTGATAGACTTTTTGTGCTGATTACGAATCCGTAAACTTGGTTTAAGCACCATTTTTCGTATTATAAAGCGATATAAATACAAATTTTTAACGGTACAAATATTTGAAAAGTTCAAAAAATTTTATTAAGAATTTGGAGCTTTTTAGTTAGGAGTTTTGGTACGCAGTTTTATAGCCCATTAAATTGTAGTAGGTATTATTAAGTGCAAGTGTGAAGATGCTGAAGATGCCCTTGATTTTGGGCAGTTTTTTTTTTATTGACGGAGATACGCATTTGCTTCCATACAAAGTAGGTTCGCATTTTTTTTTTAATTTTCGTGAATGTATTTTTTTTCGTTTTTATAGGTATGTATTTACATAAAATGCAACGCATTGTAAATTTATTAAATTAGTTTATACATATCACAAAATAAAGTAATAACGTAAATGATTTAGCAGCAGGCAGGTACGATTTATTCTTCTTTGATTGATTCAAAAGCATAAAATGCGTTCGTTCTCTTCATTGGCATGTAGGTCACCAAATCTTGGGCGCGAGCAGGCAAAAGACTAGGGTTAAAAAAAAAATTATAAGACTTTTTTTTTTAAATTCAAAGATCCAGCGTATAATTCAAACTTACGAAAGGAGACGATAGGTGAGCGCAAAGAATCCCGGCACAGCAATTTCCACTTCACGATTCAACATGCCTTTTACAATTCGCTGTGCAACTTCTTCACCATCCAATAGTGGATATAAATCGGCATAACCACTGGCCATGGCAAATTGCTTGACACGCGCATGAGTGTGCAGGAAGCTAGGGAATACCGTTGTTGCATCAATGTTGGTTAGATTCTCAACTTTCAGTTCGGCGCGTAAGACACGCATTAGGCTGCGTACAGCGGTTTTACTACTGCAGTAAGGTTCACTGTATGGCAATGTGACGAGGCCTGCAAAATGAGAGAAATTTAATAAATTTTCACACAAAAAAAAATCATAAAATTAATCAAACTTAACCTGCTATAGAAGCGATGGCCACAATATGTCCTTTATTGGCTTTCTTCATATTCTCCAGAAAGACGCGATTTGTCTACGGAATTGGTTAACAACACATTTTCTATTGACCATTTAAATTTTGTGTTAATATATTCCACAACTTACCCAAAAATGCGACAAATAATTGACATTTACCATCCTTTCTATGTCGCGCACTGTTGGATTCAGCTGATCCGAGTGTAGTAACAAGCCAGCATTGTTGACCAGAATTGTGGCCGCACCGATATCCTTCGTTACTTTTTCATTGAGCTCCACAACTTCCTCGTATTTAGTTACGTCCACCTGAAAATTTGTGTGAGTTCGTTTTTGTTTTTGAAACCACCTTAAAGTTAACCCTTTAATTCACTGACCTTGTAGGCATTTGCTTTGACGCCATAGTTAATGGCGATTTCTTTTGCTGTCTCCTCAGCGAGCTCCTGATTGATGTCGCATATAGCAATATGACATCCTTCGGCGGCCAGCTCTGCAGCAATGCATTTACCCAGACCACCTGCTGCGCCAGTGACCTTAAATGGGAGTAAATGGCGTGGTTATGAAATTATTGGCATTAATGTAAATACTAGATACTAGGGACATAAGGAGAGAACAGATTGTGGTTTGCATACAAAGGCAAATATTTACAGAGTTTAAATATATCAGAGTAGATATTAAAGATTGCAGAGTCGTATTTTACACCCATGCCTACTGGATTTTTACTATGTTAATTGAAATTTCCCTTAAATTCGACAACAGAAACTCGAAAACTGTGATAAATCAGTAATTGCTGAAGATAATTCACTCGAAATCGATTATTACAATAACCACAAAATAAAATAAATTTTTAAATAATCGGTAACCGATTTATCCATTTCTCCCAAACTCGGCGCACTTATTAACCTTGGTACGGAAAAGCAATTCATTGAAAATTATTTTAAATTTAACTTTTATTTATTTTGGTTAGATAAATGAAACATAAAATGATTCGGTTCAAAAACGCCGTATTTCAGGGACCGATTCAAAAATGCACTATCTCAGTACATTTTCAAAGCATTTTCGTTTAAGATAGGGCGTTTTTGAATCAAATTCTGAGATTGGGTGTTTTTGAACTGGCTGCCTGCGAGATAGGTTGATCTTCCACTCAGCCATCGATATGGCATCACAGCGTTACTATTCTTGGCCTATGTGTGAGGAGGATACTGCGCTTTAGTGGTTTCAACTTAAACTAAAAATTTTGACTTTAAATACTATTTTTGCTCTTAAATGCTCTTTTGCATTGGCCAACGCAAAAGTTCTTATTAGGAGCCGCGAAGCAAGCGGGCATTGGCTAGTAATAAAATAAAATAAACTTTTTCTAGTTGCACATACATGACTTAAATACTGTATATGTAAGTACTCGTACAACGATTTGTAGTCAATAATTATATTAACAACTATTATTATATTAGGGGCAAATGCTAAATTTGATTAACTCAAGAAAACACGTATTTATTGGTGTAGCGCAAAAAGTAAATCGTTAACAAGGTAGGCAAGTCAAAGTCCGAACGCATGCGATCTACATATATAGTAGGCAATTGTAGTAATAACAGGTAAAAAAAATACAACCGACTTAAATCGTTTATATAATATTTAACTTGCTTTGCGTTGGGAAATGTTGGGAAATGCAAAAATGGCGTTGAAAAGCAAAAATGGCCTGTAAAGTAAAAATTCTTAGCTTAGGTTGAAATGACAGAAAGAGCAGCACCTTCCGCGTTTTCTGTTATGGGAGGGCCAAGAATACTTTCTGTTTGAGCAACCGGATTCCGGCATTCGCTATCGCTAATTTTGATTAAAAATCGAAAAGAATTGCAAGCGCACCTAATATTATTTACCATCTGATTATATGCCGCTCATACTGCCAGACTTGCTCGATTATACTTTGCATCTGCTACTGTGCCATGTTGTATGCTTTTCATTTAGAGAATTTTTCCGTCGAAAATTTAGCTTAGCGACTGTCAGAATTCCACTGCAGAAGTTTTCACTTCAAATCAGCACTATGTATAAGTATGTATGTACCCTGAAAAAAGTGGGACTAGGTTAAATACTAGCACAGGACCACGCTACCTTGTAACCAACACTAGTAACCAAAATGGTCCAAATAGTATATGGAGAAAATATGGTTACATTAACATTGCGATCTCATTGGAACTGACCACCTCTGGTCCAATGATGCATAACATGGGAGCTTTTCTGGTCCAATGCTGCATAACATGGCACCGCCTAGACAACTACTCCTTTTGGACCATGAAACATTCGGCAGCCGAATCATATTGCCTATGTGCAATCAAGAGGTGGCATTCAACACATATGTATATCAATTTTTTATGTTTGAAGTGGTCCAGACCCGCATAATAAGTTGGAATGGTATGGAATTGTTTGTGGCCGGAAAACCCAATAACAATTTTGTTTTTGTTTCCAAGCACTCAAGCAGTATTGCCCATTGCACTTAAAGCAAAGAGACAAGATTTAGAAGAAAGGAATATGTAGCTGGGGTGGGAATTCATTTCTGCTCTGCAAAATTACCATACTTCTTTATGAATTTTAGCAGTTTGTTGAGGGAAAGAGAATGTATGTCAACCACTCTCAGGACATCGGACCCAAAAATGTACCATCTGAGTGTGACGAAGGCCGGGGCATTGTGCCCCGTAATTAGTCCTACCAGGGCTCGTACATCACTCCTTCTTTGTCTGAGAAGAAATTTTGCTACACCACCCTGTCAGGCCTTTTCAAGAAACACTTGGTTATTTTGCAGGTGTCAATAGTGCACCCGATCGTTCCCGCTATGCTTGGCCCTACAATTGGCTTCGCTATAATTGAGCGCTCCAGAGAACCGCAATTCGCCAATTCACCAGCCAGTTCGTTACCTTGAACTCCGTAGCGTCCTCGCACCCACACAAATTCAAGCTCATTCCATCTTGTAACGCAGTTCAGCCCCAACTTACATTCCTGGACTAACTTTGAAGAGGTGCGAGCGGTTGCCAGGGCCTTTAGAGCAGCTTGGCTGTCACTGCAGATCCTGATTTTATGTCCGCGCCACCTTTCGCCAATTATAAAGTCTGCCGTTGTCATTGCACCCAAAGCGGTAAAGCATCTGAAGTTTCCGTCCAGATGCCATCCCCAGCTCCAGTACCGTTTTCAGTCTTTGAGCCGTCAGTATTGAAAGTTTTCATCGAGTTCCCCAAGAGAGTGTCTGGATCTCTTAATTGTTCCCTTGCAGCATATTGCTCTGACAACCTTCTGAACAACTCTCTATGCCCAGAGCTCCGATTGTCTTGCCAACAGAACAAAACAGAGCAGTCGACGCATCATTTTCATCTATATCCAGAGGCGGCAAATTCAGCAAAATTTAAGAGCCGGTCCTGCCGTTGTACTTATGGCGCCCGTAATGCCTATACACACACTCCTTTGTAGCCTATTTAACACAGAAGCCGTGGTTTTGACCATGGTTCTGCGCCACCATACTACAGCAGAATATATGACGAATGACCTGACTAGAGCTATGTATATCCAAAATACCATAGCCGGTCTCAGACCCTAGGTCATGCGAAAGGTTCTTCGACACTTGCCTGTAGCTCGACGTGAGTTTTCCATGTCAGCTTCGTATCTAGATTTACCTCTAAGCATTGGAAGGTAAACAAGACTTGGGTTGTCTTGCCGGGATCGACGGTCTGCAAAGTGCACCATTCATCAATCTTATTCACGGTTCTCTGTGTCTTAACAACAACCTCTATGAGAGATTTAGCTGATGACAGTGCACAGACGGGGTAGTTATATTGTCTGTGGTTGCTTCGATGTGAAATACGTATGTATTTAAATTTGTTCTACTTCTACATATGTACATATGAATACTGATCATTAAAAATGTTTGGAACAAACTTGAAAGTTTCAGCACAAAAATTATCCTGACTACGGCCCTGTATTTTATCACAGATTAGGTTATTTTCACACAAAACTTTTGGCAAAATTTTATAAGTATAAGGTGCATACATATGTATACACTGAATTGATAAAATGCTATATCCCAAAATCTTTGCTTGATATTTAAACAGGCTGAGCAAAATTACAATAATAAAAACTTATTTCAGTCTGATCTCTTTTTCGATCGATTAGTTGTGAGCGTAAGTGCGCTTAATATTTGTACTTTTTAACCAAAAAATGGTATTAGAAAAGAATTTTGTATGAAATGCAAACTAAGCGCTTATGATCAAGAAATCATTAAAAAAATGGACTGATACCAAAAAGAAAACATTTATAACTTCGGTGTATTGCAATTATTTTTTTTTTACTTTTTTTCATAAGCTTGTTAAAAAAGTGAGCAAAGATTTCAAAGAGCATTGAGCTTTATTTCCGCAAATGGAAATAAATAAATAAAAAATAATAAGAAATATTAAGCTTAATAATGCAAGAGACTCTAATAACCAGTTCAAAGTTAATTGGCGAATCAACATTGTTGTTAAGCGCAGCACATTCGCATCATATTCGTATGCGGTGAGGTGCAGATGCGATGTACAATGTCGCCTACAAGCTTAATGTGTTGTTTTTGTTCTGGATCAATAGAAATAAAATAAAAAACGCAAGTGATTATGTCTTATACTCACACATACTTATTTACATACCTACATAGGTTGATTGCATCTTGATAACGGACTTTGCCCATCATTTCCGCTATCGGAATTTATGTACGTAATACGAAGCTCTTTTGATAAGTGGAAAGAACCCGCTAACTTAGAAATACCGTTTTTAAATCGATTAAATCGAAGGCGATTAATCGAGCTCTGCCGAATCGATTTTTTGTCGATTTTTTAGTTTCGATTCGATTCAAAGAATTCGAAAATCGACATTCGATTTTTCCTCAGTTTGTCTAGGAAAATCTAAATTTGAAGTAAAATAGTAAATTTTTTCTCACTGGTGATAAAAAAACTAACAATTTCGAAAAAATTTAAAAATGTTCTTAGATAAGGCTAACGTTAATTTTTCACTAGGCATTTAATTGAAAAAAATTTTGATGACTTTGCTGAGCATTAAACACCACTCGTTTAATTCTGTTTTTTGTTTTTTTTTATAAATAAAAATAGTTTCTTAAAGAATTAAAAAAAATCCCCTCAGATGACAAAAAAGTTTCAGCTTAAAAAAATCTGCTTAAAAATAGTAAAAAAAAATTTTCAACGGAAGCGTAATGATGACATTTTTGATGCGGTTTTTTTAACTTTTTTCAAAGATTGGTATAAAAACAATTGAATGACTGGACCAAAACTATTCCGATTGAGACTTATGCGGTATCATTGGAAAGTGAATAGCTTTGCACTTGGGTAAATAAATCGATAAGTGTTTGTTAACTAGTGTCGTTGGACATTTGGTGTTATATTTCTACTTTTTTTTTTTAACTGATTAGCACAATTACTTTCTGCACATCACCTATGCTAGTGCTTAAGCACTAATTACCTATTCAAACGATTCCCTATGCACTTTCATTGGCACTGATTAACTAGATTAGTTACACACGTACGCAGATCTTTTTATGTATGTATGTATGTATGTAAAATCTATATATGTAATTACCACTGCCACTTCGCCTGCAATCTTTTTACACTTTTTACTTCTTACAAAAGTGTCGTAAAGATATATTGCTACTGAAATTGTAATACCGATCGGTGTAAGTAGAAGCAATAAACCGAGACCTATCCAAGCGCGTAATTTTTTTAATGTTTCATTCGACATTATTCCAGTACCAAGATTCTTAACTTCCATATAACGAATTAATTTATGAATTTTTAGTTAATCCAGTGCAGGCGAAAACCGTTGCGCTCTGTGCAGCTGCTGTGCGAATAATGAATGAAACAATTGGCGAAACAGCAGATTTCAGCATTTGCCATTGCCTCTACACGAGTGAGCATTTAATTACTGATTGATAAGTGCAGCTTTTACTTTCGATCTGATACAGTGGCTTGCAGATAAATGGTGCTGGAGACTACGTTGAGTACCTTGACTGTGTGTTAGAGTCGATTGTTAAAAATTCTATTAATTGAAAAATGCTTTGCCATCTACAAGCGCCTTTATTAC